TCTCTCTCTCTCTCTCTCTCTCTCTCTCCTTTAAAAAAAAAAAGTTGTCATTTCACTCAAAGGAAAAGGAGTCTCTGAGGTCTGAAGAATAAACATATAAAGGCTGAAAACATAGCAGATCCTGTACTGTATAAAGACCATGTTTCTGAGGATGCTGCCATGCTTTTAATTGGTGTGTGTTTCCTGTAGTCATTTATACCACACAAATAGAAAAAAGAAAATACCATATGATTATATTGCCTAGTATGGTCCTGGATGGAACAAAACAGGTTTAAATATGGCTTTTGATTAGAAAACAGATGGGTTCAAATCTGTCCCATGAACCAGAATAAATTTGTTGCCTAGTCCTTGAAGCAATTTACATTCTTGGAATCAGTCTCCCAAACAGTGACAGATGTGAGGACATTGAGCTGTCAAGAACTTAATGAAGGGAAACAGATCAGTAACCAGTTCCAGAGAAGGGTTAAGGCTATTCTTTTTTAAAAGCTAATTGTTTTGGACAACACACCTAACATTAAGSAGCATAACGTACTCATAAAGAGCCTTATCTTATTTGACTTCGTACCCTGCCACAAGTTGTTGATGTGATGGATAATGTAATATCCAAAGTTGAAAAACCTTCCAGCCCTAGCATTTAGCTTTGGCACTTTGGGAAAATAAATAAATAAATACACACACACACACACACATATATAAAATTTTTTTTGGTATTGTAATACAGGTAACAAAATTTACCATTTTTTTTAAAAAAAATATTTACTTAGTTGTAGATGAACACACAGTATCTTTTTATTTATTTTTATGTGGTACTGAGGATTGAACCCAGTGCCTCACATATGTGAGGCAAGTGCTTTACCACTGAGGTACAGCCCCAGCCTAAAATTTACCATCTTAATTTTTGGTTTGTTTGTAGGGCTAGGGATTGAATTCTACTACTAAACTATGCCATACCCAGCCTTATCTTAATATTGTTTTTTGTGTATAGTTCAGTAGTGCTAAATGCATTATTGCGCTAGAACTCTTCATTTTATAATACTGTAACTCTATATATTGTCCAACTGCCCATTCTCCCAGCCCCTGGCCACCATCATTCTATTTTCTATCCATTTGACTATACGAGATACCTCCTTTAAGTGAAATCATACAACACATGTTCATTTGTAACTGGCTTATTTCAGTTAGCGTAATATTTTTAAGGTTTATCCATGACTTGTACCATGTATTATAATTTCCTTCCTTTTTAAAATAAATAATATTAATTTTTCCATTGTATGTACTGCATTTTATTTATTCATGTATTGATGGACATTTAAAATTGTTTCTTGCTGGGGATATAGCTCAGTTGGAAGAGTGTTTGGCTTGCATGCACTGGCCCTGGGATTGATCCCCAGCACCACCAAAAAAAAAAAAAAAAATTGTTTCTACCCTTTGGCTCTTGTGAACAAGGCTGTATTAAACACCAGTATACAAGCATTCAATTCCTGCTATCAGTGCTTGATATGTAACCAGAAGTGGAATTCCTAGATAGGGAATTTTTTTTTCCTTTTCTTTTGGACTTACAGGTGTTTGAAGCTGTTTATTTTAGTAAAAGGCAATTTTAAAATAAAAAAAATCTGTATTTGTTAATATGAGTTGATTTCAGTGTTTATGGAAAACAACTTATTTTTTTTGTAATTGATTATTTTATTTATACATGCCAATGGAATGCACTACAATAAAAAGTACTCCAGCATCTGGAGACTAAACAATATGCTACTGAGTGAACAATGGGTTACAGAAAACATCAAGGAGGAGATTAAAAAATTCTTAGAGGTAAATGAGAACACAGACACACATTGAAATCTCTGGGACAGTATGAAAACAGTGCTAAGAGGAAAGTTGATTGCATGGAGTTCATTCCTTAAAGAAGAAAAAGTCAATAAATAAATGACCTAACTGTATATCTCAAAGCCCAGAAAAAGAACAAATAAACATCAAAAGCAGCAGAAGGCAGGAAATAATTAAAATTAGAGCTGAAATCAATGAGATCGAAACAAAAGAAACAATTGAAAAAATTGTCAAGTTATTTTTTCTTTGAAAAAATAAATAAAATTTACAGACCCTTAGCTACACCAATGARGAGGAGAGAGAGAACTCAATTACTAACATACGTGATAAAAAGGTAATATCACCACCGACACTTCAGAAATACAGAGGATAATTAGAAATTATTTTGAAAACTTACACTCCAGCTTAGTTAATAGGTGGTCTGTTCCTCAGAAAAGTTACATATTGCTGAAGCCAAAATACATTTTTGCTTTAATTGATTTCTTCAAAGACACATTAGGATATGTCAAAGAAGAGTAAGACTTAAGTTATATGGAGCATTGAGAAAAGTCTGAGTAGGTAATGTAAACTTAAAGAATGTAATAGAGTACTGAAACTTAGCAAGAGGTGACTAGGCTGTGTAGCCATTTCTTTATTTTTATTTTTTTTCTTTCTTTTTTTAAATTTTAATTTGTTATATATGATATACTGTAGGGTTTTGAAATTACTTGGGCCAACCAGGAAAATGAAAATGTGTCATTATAAATGGCTCTTTTAGGCTATAGTATTTGTGGGATTGTTTTTAGGAGGAAAGTTTTTTTTTTTGTGTGTGTGTGTGGCGGGGTACTGAGGATTGAACCTAGGGGGTTTCTAACACTGAATTACATTGCCAGCCCTTTTAGTTTTTTATTTTGAGAGAGTGTTTTGCTAAATTGCTGAGGCTGGCCTCAAGCTTTCAGTCCTCTGGCCTCGGCCTCCAGGTGGCTGGGATTATAGGCGTATACCACCATGCCTGGCTAGGAGGCTTATAAATAGTAAATTTCTGTTGGCTTCCGGAGTCCCTTTTGAACTACAGAAGTATGTTTTAAGAGAACACTCTTCTAAGGGATAGAAACTGATTCAGTCTCTTTCAAGTCTACCTGACCTGTCTCTGTGGCAGCCACCAAACTGAATAAAATTTGTACATTTTCGAGGAAGGATAAACTGCAAGAGCCCTTCATGTCTCTGGTTAGTTGGCTATTTCAGGCTTGTATCATTTAGGAGAAACATTACCCAGTTCTAATTTATGTGAGAAGTTTTCAGGTATCTGCTCTACTAYGACTCAGGCAGATTGAGAGAGAAGAAAATAAATGATTTTTAATCAAAAGAGAATAGTGTAATACTTTGAGAACAAGTGTTGCTCATAAATACTGTTTTCAATTTCACATCCTACCAGGACTACTTAACATTTGTACATACTACCAGTTCATGTGTATTTTTGTAGTTGAAATGATCACATTTATACTGGTATATGAATCAAATTTTAGAATTCTGTGAAAGCTGCATGTTTTGAAGCTCTAAGAAAATAAGAGATTAAAACAAGAGTCTTAGCCCTACCATCTGTTTCTTATCCCTCTAAAATATTTCCTTCTTATCCCCAGAGGAAATATAGAAATTAATCAGAATTAGCCAGGCGCAGTGGTGCATACCTATAATCCTAGCCATGTGGGAGGCTGAGGCAGGAGAATCACAACTTCCAGGATAGTTTGGGCAACATTGAGACCCTGTCTGCGGAAGTAGCTCAGTGGTAAAGCACCTGTGGGTTGGGTTCAATTCCTCAGTGTAGCCAAAAAAAAGTAAGGAAGAAAGAAAGGAAGAAACTAAGCAGAATTTGCAACATTATAGGGTAAAATAAATAAGGTGGTGCCTGCCTTACACAGAAAGATCACAAATTGGTGGCCAGCCTGAGCCACTTAGTGACTATCTCAAAATACAAAATACAAAATAAAAAGGGCTGAGGATGCCCAGCATATATGAGATCCAGTACTACAAAAAAAGGGAAGATTAAAAAAAAAGATGCCTCTTCTTTAAGATTTGTGTCTCACCTAAATCATGYGCAGGAGCAATTACAACTGTTTTTCTCTTAAGGGAGTTTTGCAGCTGGAAGGAACTTAAGAGAAACTTATCCAACCTCTTGGTTTTACCAGTTAGGAACTCAGATTTCCTGATGGTCTGCACTGTATTTGAATAAGTGGACAGACTTTTTATCATTGATGAAGATTCACAAGTACTTATCACCTGTTTTTTAACTTTGTATGCCTGTGCTTGAGCTTTAATAGCTTTTTCTTTTTTAAAAAGAGACTTACCCATCTGTCATGGATAAATTACCAGACTTTATCAAATTCCTCATGACTTCCATTGGTTATTAAGTCTATAGATCTTGCACTTTGGGCAGTAACTTTATAACTTCCTCTAAAACCAGTGATCTGTATTTTATGAAGCACCAGCTAAATACTGGTTTCACTCATTTCTTTCTGTTTTTTGCTTTTTCCCTTCTATTCCCTGCTCCCTGCCAGATGGCCGATATTTTTTAGATTTGGTTATAATCCATATATTTGGGGATAGGCAGTAAATCTAATAATTGATTTTGTTGAATGTGATTATTTAACTTGTGCTTGAAATTTTTTGTTTTCCTAGCCAGGCACAGAGTCATTCATCTGTCATCCCAGTGACAAGGATCTCAAGTTCAAGGCCAGCTTTGGCATCTTAGTGAGATGCTCTCTGAAAATAAAAGATTAAAAAATAAGAAAGGAGAGAGCCTAATATTCTGTGGCTTGGCCAAACACTGTTCTCTTACAAAAGTCCAGTTTACTCACATTAATGGAACAGTATATAGAAAAAAGGCAGCAGAAACTCTGCTGGGGACTGGATTAAGGCCGACAATCTCTGGCCCCAAGGAGCGCAGGTGTGCCCTGTCCCCCAAACATGGAGTCCTGTAGCCCAGGTCTTACCTGAGTCAGGATGAGGAAGTGGTGGGTCCAGATGGTGCTACTGGCCATGCCCCTGCTGGCTATGTACCTGCACATCCCACCCCCTCAGCTGTCCCCTGCTCTGCACTCATGGAAGTCTTCTGGGAAGTTTTTCACCTACAAGGGACTACACATCTTCTACCAGGACTGTTAGTATAGTTGACAGTCCAGTCCTGAGATAGTTGTACTTTTACATGACTTTCCAACTTCCAGTTATGACTGGTATAGGATTTGGGAAGGTTTGACCCTGAGGTTTCATCAAGTGATTGCCTGTGATTTCTTAGGCTTTGGCTTCAGTGACACATGGAGACCACACCACTATTCCATATTTAAGCAGGCCAGCATTGTGGAGGTGCTTTTGCACCACCTAGGACTCCAGAACCGTAGGATCAACATTGTTGCTCAGGAGCTGTTGTATAGGTACAAGTAAAATCTATCTGACCAGCTTACCATAAAGAGTCTCTGTTTGGGGTTGGGGTGTGGCTCAGTGGTAGAGCGCTCTCCTAGCACGTGCGAGGCCATGGGTTCAATCCTCAGCACCATGTAAAAATGAATAAAAAATAAAGGTATTGTGTCCGGCTACAACTAATAGAGAGATATATAGATAGATAGATAGATAGATAGATAGATAGATAGATAGATAGATAATTTTTTTTAAAGATTCTCTGTGTCAAATCTTTGCTGATACTCATTGGCCTCTTCTTTTCCAAAAGCTACCTAAAGATGGAGGCATGCTGTCACCCATCCTCACGAGGTTGATGAACTTTTTTGTATTTTCTCAAGGTCTTACTCTAGGTCTTTGGACCATACACTTGACCCTCTGAGAGTGAGCTCTGGGATATGTGGGCAGGGATCCAAAACAATGACGGGAACTTGGTGTCTCTTACAGGACATCAATCAGAGGAAGAAGTTTAGAAGGTRCTGGGTGCCTCTGTAACTATTCCCGTTCATTTTATCTGTGGGCCATTGGATCCTCTAAATCCCTATCCAGAGTTTTTGGAGCTGTACAGGAAAACGCTGCTGGGGTCCACAGTGTCAATTCTGAATGACCTATTAGCCACTACCCACAGCTAGATCCCATGGGCTTCTTAAATGCATATATGGGCTTCCTCAGCTCCTTCTGAGCTAGAAAGAGTAGCTTCCCTGTATTATTTCCCCCACTCATGTATCTGTTGTGTAGTCTACTTAGGAAGAAATGCCCCAAAGAGGTTCTGGCAATCAAACACTGTTCTCTCACAAAAGTCCACTTTACTCACATTGATGGAACAGAATATAGAAAAAAGGCAGCAGAAACTCTGAAAAAATAGTCCACCTCATTCCAAGTATCTAGACTTGTCTTTGTGTTTAGTCTTTGTGTCATTAGGAAATTCTGACGAGCATGGCTTCTCATGGATGCTTAGAGACAGGCATTAGACATTCTTTTTTTTTTTTTAAGAGAGAGAATTTTAAAAAAAATATTTATTTTTAAGTTTTTCGGCAGACACAACATCTTTGTATGTGGTGCTGAGGACTGAACCCGGGCTGCACGCATGCCAGGAGAGAGTGCTACCGCTTTCCAGCCCGGCATTAGAAATTCTTTTGCTTAAAATTAAAAGACTTTTTAACATTTTTGTGGACTTTCCTGAAGTATCTGAAAGTGCTGATTTCTGGCCTAAGCCCAGTTGAAATTTCACAGTAAAGAATGAAAAGTGGGGCCTGTTACCTCTCCTTGAATGGTTTAAAGGGTACATGGTTTTTAAAGTTCTCTAAGCAACATAGCTTAAGTGAGAGTGAATATCCCTTGTCATAACTTTGGATTAGTTTCATCAGCTGCTTTAAATTATAGACATTTTGTTAGAATATTTAAGAAATGCAATATTTTAAAGTATGGTGTAAGAGTATGATTTGCCTACACATTGTATATAGTTTCTAAGGACACTAAACTGGCAGACCCTTACTCTGCCATAGTAGTGAACCTTATTAAACGTGTAATTTCGGGCTAGGGATGTGGCTAAAGCGGTAGCATGCTCGCCTGGCATGCGTGCGGCCCGGGTTCGATCCTCAGCACCACATACAAACAACGATGTTGTGTCCGCCAAAAAGTGAAAAATAAATATTAAAATTCTCTCTCTCCTCCTTCCCTCCCTCCCTCCCTCTCTCTCTCTTCTCTCTCTCTGTCTCTCTCTCTCTCTCTCTCTGTCTAAAATGTGTTCCTTCCTTTCTCTCTTAAAAAAAAAAACAAAAACAACGTGTAATTTCTAGGGGCTGGGGAATGTGGCTCAAGCGGTAGCGCGCTTGCCTGGCATGCGTGCGGCCCGGGTTTGATCCTTAGCACCACATACAAACAAAGATATTGTGTCCACCGAAAACTAAAAAATAAATATTAAAAAATTCTCTCTCTCTCTCTCTTTAAAGAAAAAAAAAGTGTAATTTCTGAGTAAACTAAATTCAGATTACTTACAGAATTTTTAAAAATCACAGAGACTAAGAAGCAATTCCATCTGTGCCAGAGATTTACTGTTATTAGTTGGAGAGATCAATTCTAACAGCAAATAATAGTCTGACTACTCATACCTCAGTGCTTAGAAGCATGAACCCTCCTGAAGTGTAGGGAGGGGACCTTTGTACACTTGGAGTTACCTTGCTGAAGTACACTGACTCCTCTGGTGATGGTGGCTTAACTTCCCATTGTCTGTCCCAGAGAGGCTTTCTCATGCAGCTCAGCTATTCCTGAGCAACAGGATAGTTTCCAGACAATTTAAGAATAAATTTTCAAAGACCTATAAGCCAAAGTAGGTATTAAGTGATTGATTTTAAATTTGATTTTTAAAAATTAGGAACCTCAAATATAATGACTTTGAAACTGGAATAAGTGTTTATTTTCTAGTAATAAAAATGAATTGTGACAAAAGTGGATTGGCTTCCCCTCCCCCACCACCCCTTTGGGATAAAATTTTTCAACATTGCCAGGAGCTTTCAAACATTAAACAAAAGAACATAATGAAGTTAAACAGCTGGAATATAGGATAATATTTGATTTTCAAGCTCACCCAAAACTGCACTGTCATACCAGTGCTGACCAAGTGAGAAAGGAAAAAAACAAAACCAAGGAACACCAAAACTGATGCACAAGGACAGACATTGGCTTAATCTGCTGGCTCAGGGCCAAGCAGTTTGTTTCTTTAAAGTCATTAAATCTTTAAAGTGTGATTTTGGGAAATTTATGCCACTAGTCTAAAAGCTAGTGATATACAAATCATCTACATCTTGCCCAGTAAGAACTTATCCAACAGAAGCCAAGGTAACATCTACAGGTGTTCTCTCTTTGCTTCTGACAGTCACTGCATGGTCACTCCATCTACTAAGGCCAGCCTGGACCTCGCCAACAAGTCAAAGCCACCTTTGTATACACCTGAGAGAAAAAAGTGAGGAAAACCATACTTAATAACTCAAGCTCTAAATAATGAAATTTATTATAAAATAATAATAATAAGAAAGGACTGGGGATGTAGCTCAAAGATAGAGTACCCTGTGTTCAATTCCAACTGCCATAAAAGAAAAAAATGTTTTCTTATTGGTAAAATGAGATGATAATAGCTACTTCATCTCAGAGGACATTTATAGAATTAAAGGATACATATGAGATATAATTAATAATAATGATGAACCATTTTAACTTTTCACTATCCTAGAAATCCAGTAGATTTAAGTGCCTATTATGTTGAGAGGAAATGTTACAGGTATTTTATTTATTTATTTATTTATTTATTTATTTATTAATTAAAGAAGAACATCCTTCTTGCCTCTTTTTGCTTTTCTAAACTAGGTGCTTATATAGTAATGGGGTGTTGTAAATAAAGGTTGAAGAGATCAAGAATAGATTTTAAATAGAGCTTTTAGTTAATTATCAGCTAAACAGCTAAAAGGGTGTTCAGATCTACTGTGAACTTTTATGTGCCTTTATAAAATGGTAAGCTGTTTTGTTTTCCTTATTTATAAATTTGGAGTAATATCCTTTGTAGTTACAAGAGTTAAATGATGTGCATGTAGACTGCAAAGTGCTGTGAAACTGTTAGATAATATTACTGGTATTTATAATTTTATTATCTCTTAATGTAACCATATTTACAGAAAATTAGAAAGTGGAGTGAGCATTGATACCAGCCCTTGGACATAGTGTTTATTTTGGGTTTGGTTCCATACAGTTCTTTCCCTCTTAGTCTCAATGAATACAGAGAATTTTGTCTTCTACTTTTGTTTTTAAATGTTTTTTTTTTTTTTTGTGGCTAATGACGTACATAGCAGTCATTTTTATACAACTTGAAAGCATCCATAATTAACTAATTTCTTTTGGACATTTAGATTTCCTGTTTTCACTGTTACAAAGAATAGACCAGTTCTCTTGTTTCTTACTGAACTGCCATCTGTTAAGACCATTATAGATAGCTGTTTTTGACCTCTGGTTTCATCATTGCAAATCAAGAAAAAAAATTTTTTTTAAAGGAATTATTACAAAGAAATGTACTCCTTGACTCCCTACACAGGTAAAAAGATGGAGAAATATTGAGGGATAGATGGTATACTATCTTGTTCTGCAGGTAGTACAGTATTTTGGCAATTAAAATAAGAAGGAACAATTGCCAGTTGTGAGCTCCACAGGGGGCAAATGCTGCTATTTTGATTTCTTTCCTTCCTATTAAGGAAGGAAGAGGGATAAGCAGCATGAAAGATAAGGGACTGCTTTTTATATTTATTCATAGTGAATTAGGTTATGTGTTTTTCCTCACTTTAAGCATAATGCTTAGTTTAATTCCCTTTCTAGATTTAATGTGGAAAATTCTCATTGGTGTCTTGGGGAGAAAAGGCTGGGTCTAGTGGCTCATGCCAGGATGAGCAGTCTATCAACTTTTGTGACATTTTAGTCTACAGAAGGTCGTTACTGGTTGCTTCTCTGGATGGTCAAAGAAGAGAATTAAAATCAGCTAGCATATATTGAGTACATCAGGCACTCTGTTAAAAAGAAATAACAAGGAATTAAAAGACTTGATTCTACTACCTCAGAGAAGCTCTTTACAACATAGTGGTTCTTAGATAAAAATATCTAAGAATAATTAAAATCATTTGTTAATAAGAACACAGGAGCTAGGCATGGTAGCTCATATGTGTAATCCCAGCTTTTTGGAAGGCTGAGGTAGAAGGATCATAAGTTCAAGACTAGCCTGGGAACTTAGTGAGATTATCTGAAAATAAAAAAATTAAAAGGGCTGAGGATGTAGCTTAATGATAGAGTGTTCCTGGGTTTAATCCCTATAGTGAACAACAAACAAAAGAACATAGGCTAAAAGTTTATTTTTAGACATGTAGATTTGGAATTTATAACAGATATCAGGCAGCTCTGGTCAATACCTAGGGGCATTTATTCTAATAATTTAATTATTTTA